TTTTTGCATTTAGATACAGAAGAACTTTGCCTGTTGAATATTAAAAGCAAAGGAACAAACAAAAAATCTGGATCTCCATGTCTGCCATGCAAATCAACTGTTCCTGCTCATTCCCAGACTGGATCTCTTCTCTCTACTTTCCCTAATTGCAGATTCAATTATTAGATTTGTCAGTATTAATATGTTTATGCTTAGATTTTTTGGGGGGGATCAAACTGTAACACCGTGTGTCCCAACCAGACACGATGCAATAAAAAGTATATTTTCCATGTAGTTTTTGTCCTAACCACCCGCGAGAGCGACACGTGACAATAAGCGACATGGGATTCTATTTTAGGAACGATTTTAATTTTCTGCAAGGTCGCTGCAGGAACAACATACAAAATATGACAGTGATAGTCTCAGGTAGGCTTTATAGCCATAGTGAAAGCAACAATATATATTTTACCTCAGATCTTGAAAATAAATTAAAGCAAACTTGTACGTTAAAACTGTGAGCTCACTGCCAACCAACATGTGTATTACATAACAAAGATATCACTCACTCACTCACTCACTCACTCAAAACTGTTCAGTCCATTCACATTTATATCATCTATTTTCCGTGTCCACTTTTCTTTTCTACACACTCACCATGTTTTTGCTGTCACATGGTATCTACACTGGACGCGACAAAGCATTGCAAATCATTTGAACATTGTGTCAGTACGTTATAAATAGAACGAGTCAGCAGTTTACTGTCGGGATTTGTGGTGTCACGCCGCATCCAAGACAGCATCACTGATTATAACGAGTTTTTGTATTTTATTGTGTCGCGCCGCGCCGCTCGCGTCCGGTGTAGACACGATGTAAGTTAATGTAGCTTTCTGAAGCTGCGTTTGAATTTTCATGCCACATTATTTGAAATTAGCGCGGATGTGGCATGAAATCTGGCATGGATCTCTCACGGATGTGGCCCGCGGGCTGCCTATTGAGGAACCCTGGCCTAGACCAATACCAGACCTTAAAAAAACCCAGATCAATAACAGACCTTTTAAAGCCTAGACCAAAACTGGACCACCAAAGACTAAAGCCTAGACCAAAACTGGACCCCCAAAGACTAAAGCCTAGACCAAAACTGGACCCCCAAAGACTAAAGCCTAGACCAAAACTGGACCCCCAAAGACTAAAGCCTAGACCAAAACTGGACCCCCAAAGACTAAAGCCTAGACCAAAACTGGACCCCCAAAGACTAAAGCCTAGACCAAAACTGGACCCCCAAAGACTAAAGCCTAGACCAAAACTGGACCCCCAAAGACTAAAGCCTAGACCAAAACTGGACCCCCAAAGACTAAAGCCTAGACCAAACACTCACTCACTCACTCAAAACTGTTCAGTCCATTCACATTTATATCATCTATTTTCCGTGTCCACTTTTCTTTTCTACACACTCACCATGTTTTTGCTGTCACATGGTATCTACACTGGACGCGACAAAGCATTGCAAATCATTTGAACATTGTGTCAGTACGTTATAAATAGAACGAGTCAGCAGTTTACTGTCGGGATTTGTGGTGTCACGCCGCATCCAAGACAGCATCACTGATTATAACGAGTTTTTGTATTTTATTGTGTCGCGCCGCGCCGCTCGCGTCCGGTGTAGACACGATGTAAGTTAATGTAGCTTTCTGAAGCTGCGTTTGAATTTTCATGCCACATTATTTGAAATTAGCGCGGATGTGGCATGAAATCTGGCATGGATCTCTCACGGATGTGGCCCGCGGGCTGCCTATTGAGGAACCCTGGCCTAGACCAATACCAGACCTT